TAGAGGTGCCCTTGGGCCAGTAGGTGGCATGGTGGTTAAGGCACTGGATACCACATGGCTGACTCTGAGGTTCAAGTCCTGGACCCAGCGACTTGAAAAACACTCCAGGTGCATGTGAGTACATGACCCAAATCCTGAAAGGAGAGCAGAGGAGAAGAGATTGCAGTGTGGCCTTGCCCCCTTGGGGAGGGTGATTTCTCACTCACTTTCTCTGGCAAGTGCACACACCCTATGATAAAAACCTTACAAAACAATGTTTAATTAAAATTAAAAATTAAAAATAAAACCTTCAGCAGACATTAGAATTGCCTGGGAGCTCTTGAGAACCCAGATGCTCGGATTGTGCATCATACCAGTAAAATTTGACAAAGTCTCTGGAGCCAGGCATTGGTGTTTTCTAGAACTTTCTTTTTCCTTTTCTTCTTTTTTGTTTTTGTTTTTGTTTTGTTTTTTGAGAAATGTTAGCTCTAGGATACATGCGCCCACCAGAGAGACAGAGACAGAAAGCAAAAAAATCACCCCCTGGGGGGATGGCCACGCCACAATCCCCTTCTTCAGTTCTGCTTTTTGCATTTTGGCCACGCACGCCCATGCACCCACCATGAGTTTCAAGTCACCAGTTCTGGGATTCAAACCATGGTCAGCCATGTGGGAGTCCAGCACCTTAACCACAATGTCACCTGCTGGCCCTTTCTAGAACTTTCTAAGAGATATTACTGTATAGCTGCATTTGAGAACTGGTGTTTTACAGAAATGAAGCTAGGTTCCCCTTGGCCTTTTTAATTTTTTTAAATTTCTTTTTATTTTATTTTATTTTTTAAAGAATTGTGTATTGGGACCAGCAGTTAGTGTAATGGCTATGTCACTATGTGGGGTGTGATTTCTTGCTTTCTGTCTCTCTGTCTCTCTCTGTTTTTCTGGTGAGCACATGCACCCTATAGCTAAAACCTCTCCCGAAAAGCAAATAAATGAATAAAAATTAAATTAAAAAATTTAAAAAATTCCAACTCTCCTGTGGCATGTAGTCAGGGCACCACAGGAAGCTGAAGGTGCCAGGGGGTGGATGGACCAGGCCTGCAATACCTGCTCACCTTCTATGGCTTCCAAGGTTTGGAGTGAGGCTAGGAGGGGTTGGGCATTGTGGGAGTATTCTCAGAGCACCCCACATGGTATGCTGAGGGTTCCCCAGAACACATAGAGAACCAGCTTATTAACGTGGTCTGGAGGTTTTCTGGCCTGTGGTCTGGTAGTTCAGGAAGCCGGGTCCCACGAGGCTGACCATGTGGTTCAAGTCTCAATCCCAGTGGCTTGAAAAACATACAAGATGGTGTGTGTATCCCTCACATCCCAAGAAGATGGACCAGTGGAGACGGGATTGTGGCATGGTTATGTCCCATCGGGGCAGGAGAGGTGTTTTATCCCTCTTCTTCTCTCTCTGTCTCTCTCTGGTCAGCACACACGGTCTCTGGACACATTAAAAACAGTTTTTTAAGAGTTAACTGAAGGGACCAGCAGGTGGCGTAGTGGTTATGGCGCTGGACTGCTATGGTCAACTGTGGCTCAAGTCCCACACCCGGCAGCTTCAAACTCACACCAGGTGCACATGCGTGTGTGCCCAAAATCCCAAGAGGAGAGCAGTGGAGAAGGGATTGTGGTATGGCCATCTCCCATGGGGGGTGATTTCTCACTCTCTCTCTCTCTCTCTCTCTCTGTCTCTGTCTCTCTGGCGAGTGCAGGTGCTCTATAGCAAAAATCTCTCAAGTATAAAAAAGAAAAAAGTCAACTTGAGGTCATTAAACTGTTGTGTCTGATAAACGGATGCCAATAGTGACCCTGGGCTCTTCTGTGCCCTCAACCCACAGTCATCCAAAGTGAAAACTACCGTGTGGGCTTCATGCCTCACTGTTTGGTTAAATATGTGTTCAGATATAATAGAGGCCCTGGATGGAAACCTCAAATAACATGGATGTCTTCGGTCTACTGATCTTGAAACTAAAAACAGCCTGGACAGTAGTTTTTGGTGAACCACAACTCCCAGCTCAAAGCTAGTGCCCGAGGCTGTAAATTTAGGAGATGTCCGGAGTCAGGATTTCTATACATTTTTTTTAAGAGTGCATGCGGTCACTAGAGAGAGAGAGAGAGAGAGAGAGAGCACACCAGTCCTTGGCCTGGTCGTTAAGAGAGCTGGATCTCACATGGCACCACAATCCCTTCTCCTCCATTCTCCTCTTGGGATCTTAGGCACACACACACATGAGCCCGGTGTGATTTTCAAGTCACCAGGTGTAGGACTCGAACTGTGGTCAGCCATGTGGGAGTCCAGTGCCTTAACCACCATGCCACCTGTCGACCCTGGATGTGAACACGCTAAACCAGATTTAGTGCAATCTGGATTGCAGATGAGCTCCAGAAACCCTCAAATCCTGCCAGCTCTTGCTGACGGAACGTTCCTTGGGAAGTCCTCACAGAGTAAAAAGCTTGTTTTTCTAAAATTTTGATATATGGCACATGTGCTCCCCATAGAACTAAAGAGAGAGAGGGAGAGAGAGAGAAAGAAACTGAGAAACGACACCCTCCTCCCCCTGGGAGGATGGCCACACCACAATCACTTCTCCTCCATTCTCCTCTTGGGATTTTGGGCACGCACACACGTATACATGCCCCGTGTTTTTGAAGCCACTGGGTCTGGGATTTGAACTGCTCTGTGGGCCATGTGGGATCCACCCGCCTTAACCATCCCACCACTGGCTGGTCCTATTCTGAGAGCTTTTGTAACCGAGTTAGGTGTCTCCTGGCAGACCAGGTTTTTTGGAGGCACTGGTGGTGTGGAAGAAGGAGCCTCTTTCGTTCTATAAACCACTCAACCACCAGAGAAAACTTGGAAGCTGTTTTCTTTCTTCCTTTTTTTGGAGAGGTTTTTGCTATAGGGCGCATGTGCTCACCAGAAAGACAGAGAGAGAGAGTCAGAAAGCGAGAAATCACGCCTCAGGGGGGATGGCCATGCCACAATCCCTTCTCCTCCTTTCTCCTCTCGGGATCTTGGGCACGCACGCACACATGCCCAGTATGAGTTTAATCCACCGGGTCCGGGGCTCGAACCGTGGTCAACTTCATAGAAGTACAGCGATGTAGCCATTATGCCATCTGCTGGTCCTGTTGGAAGCAGTTTTCTGTATAACATTTCTCCCTAAGTGATAAGACCAGTCTTCTAGGGCTTGGATCACTTCCTTGGGGTTGGCAAAAGCATTATTGTTTGAAAAACTCACCTGGTGGTCACCAGCAGAGCCCAGCTGGAGGAGCTGGGAGGAGACTTGTGAACCATCACCGTATCAGCTCTTGAGTGTGTGTAGGGCAGAGGCTCGGGGGGTGAGAGGGTCTCGCTCCCGGAGATGGGAAATGACTCTGATCCTAGCCAGATCTACGGTAGGTGGGAAACAAGGTTTTAGAGAATTGCTATAGGGACAGTTGAGGTCTTCTTAAGGGACTTGAGCATTTCCGGAACTCAGGTGCTGCATGTCTCGTTGGTGAATGTGTGAATTTTGTCACGTTTGGCATGCTCTTCACACGGCCACCAGGGGAGCCCTCTTTTCTTGGGCTGTACCAGGAAGGTGGGGTTTTCGTGATCGAGGATTTGGGGGTGGGGGTCGGAGGCAGGTGACTTAGGCCAGTTGAGTTCTTGCAGAAGTTCTCAGATGGTTTTTCCAAGGACTTAGCTGAGAGCTTATGACCCTTAGGCTTCCTGAAGCCAAAAAATGTTACTTAAAGAGGTAAGACATTCCTGTCTTGGGCCAGCCCGTGGCATGGTGGTTAAGGAGGTTGGATGCCACATGGCTGGCGGTGTGGTTCGAGTCCCAGACCCAGTGGCTTGAGCGTGTGTACATGCATGCTTGAAATTCCAAGAGGAGAATGGAGGAGAATGGATTGTAGCATGGACGTCTCTGTGGGGGCTTAATTTCTCTCTGTATCTCTCTCCCTCCCCATGAATGCATGTACCCTATAGCAAATAAAAACATTGTATTAAAAATAAAATTGTAACCAGCTGGACTTGCTATTGAACGTAGTTAGATTATTTAAGAAAATATGGGGGGAAAAGGAATGGAAAACAACTGTAGACACCAGAGATAGTGTGGGAGGAGGGTGGGAAAGGGCAGAGGGTCAGGAATAGGGATTATGTGTGTGTGTGTGTGTGTGTGTGTGTGTGTGTGTATTTATGGAAAATTATACATATTGTGTATATATATATATTCCATATATATTTGTGTGTATGTATATATATATATATACACATAAATAATTCTATATATATGTGTGCGTATATATGTATATGGAAAATTACCAATGATAACATGTATGAATAAGCTGCTATGCAGTGTATTCTGGATGGGAAATCACATTTTGTATGTTGTGGCGATGATCAGGGAATGAATGTAAATTAATTCATTAAAAAAATGTTTCAGAGGGGGATCAACAGTTAGCGTAATGGCTATGTCGCTGGACTCCCATGTAGTCGACCACGGTTCGAGTCCCGGACCCGGCGGCTTAAACTCATGCCGGGCACGTGTGCGTGCGTGCCCCAGATCCCGAGAGGAGAATGGAGGAGAAGGGATTGCGGCATGGCCATCCCACCTGGGGGGCGATTTCTCACTTTCTGTCTCTCTGTCTCTCTCTGTCTTTCTGGCGAGCACACACTCCCTATAGCAAAATAAATAAATAAATAAATAAACCTCTCCCAAAAAAGAAAAAAAAAATGTTTCAGGGAATAAAAAAAAGCTCATGGAAATACGTGTAATGGGAAAACTATGTATGAATTTCAAAAAGTGTTTGTACCAACATAGATTCATACTTTAATTATAAAAATATAAAGTAAATAAATAATAAAAGCAAATGAATAAATAGCATTTTAGAGATGAGAACGTGATGTAAGTGAGCATCGCCCACTAGGATGTGTAACTGGCAATGTGATACCTGTGACGTGTCGTTTTCTCCTTCTCACCGGGAAGCTTGGGGATGAACCATGACGACGACCACTCGTCCTGCGCCGGCCGGTCCCACATCATGTCCGGAGAGTGGGTGAAAGGCCGGAGCCCCAGCGACCTCTCCTGGTCCTCCTGCAGTCAAGAAGACCTTGAAAACTTCCTCAAGTGAGTCTCCAATTCATCTGTACAATCAATGCCATAGAAAATACTCCTGAATGGGACCAGCAGTTAGTGTAATGGCTAGGTCGCTGGACTCCCACGTAGTCGACTGCGGTTCCCGTCCCGGACCTGGTGGCTTAAAACTCACGCCGGGCGCGTGTGCGTGCGTGCCTAAGATCCTGAGAGGAGACTGGAGGAGAAGGGATTGCGGCGTGGCCATCCCCCCGGGGGGGTGATTTCTCGCTTTCTATCCTTCTGTCTGTCTGGTGAGCGCATGCACCCTATAGCAAAAACCTCTCCAAAAAAAAAGAAAAAGAAAATACTCCCGAATGAAAAAAACACCCAGGAAGATGACGCTTCTTCCAGATCTCGGCCGGCCTGAGGAGGAGGCCATCACTGCAGAGTCCCTGCAACCAGCAAAGCTTCCTCCCATGGGTGCATTCGGTCCAGTGGTGGGCACCCACCTGGTGGTCCTTGTGTCATTGTCACTTAATATTGCAACAAGGCAGTCAGTGGTGTGGAGGTTAAGGCACTGGAGCCCACATGGCTGACTCTGCAGTTCGAGTTCTGAACCTGGCAGCTTGAAAAACATACTTGTGTGTGTGCCCAAAATCAGGAAAGAAGGAAGGAGAGAGATCGCCAGGACCATCCGCCATGGCGGGGTGCTTTCTCATGCCCAACCTCAATCACTCTGTCTCTCTCTGGCGAGTGTCCATGCTCACTAGCAAATAAAAAGGCAGAAAAGAAGAAGAAGGAAGAGGAAGGGAATAGAAAGGAGGAAAGGAAGGGAAGGAAAAAAAGGAAAGGAAGGGTGGGGACCAGCAGGTGGCACTGGACTCCCACATGGTCAACGGCGGTTCGAGTCCTGGACCCGGCAGCTTAAAACTCACACTAGGTTCGTGCACATGCGTGCCTAAAATCCTGAGAGGAGACTGGAGGAGGAGGGACTGTAGAAGGCCATCCTCCCTGAGGGGTGATTTCTTACTTGCTCACTGTGAAGCATGTGGACTTATGCCTCACTTTTTTGTTAAATATAACATGGTCAGACATCATAGAGGCCCTGGATGAAAACTCCAAATAACATGGATTTCTTCAGGCTAGTGATCTTGAAATAAAAAATAGCCCGAACAGTTGCTTTTGTGAACTCCAAGTTCCAAGACTCCCAGCTCAAAGCCTCAGGTGAGTGCATGCACCCTACAGCAAAATCCCTTTTAAAAAAAAAAAAAACAGGAAAGTGAAAGGAAGGGAAGAGGTGGGAAGGAAGAGAGGGAAGAAAAAAGTTAAAACCATTTACAAGGATCATACCACCTGCTGGCCCACAATGATCACATTTTAATTAAGAAAAAAAAAAAAAAGAATGAATTTTCACAGAACTCCATTTTAACTCTTTTTTTCCTTGAGAGATTTTTTGCTATAGGGTGCATGCGCTTGCCAGAGACATGGAGAAACAGAGAGAGAGAAAAAGAGAAAGTACCCCCCAGGAGCCGCATTACAATCCCTTCTCCTCCATTCTCTTGGAATTTGGGGTACGCACACACACATGCCCATTGTGAATTTCAAGCCACCAGGCCCTAGACTTGAACCACGGTCGACCATATGGGAGTCCAGCACCTTAACCACTATGCCACATGCCGACCCCCTGACTGCAGAATCTTGATACAGTGTTATAAGCTGCTTGACATTGTTTCGTGTTACCCAGGAGGGTCAGCACAGCCACCCCGGAAGTTCTCTGTGCCACCCCCACAGTGCTGGTCCCACTGGTGACAGCTAGCATGTGTCCGAGCCCAGGGCAGGTGGGCCAGCGTGAGTCCATTCTTCATGAGCGTACATTTTTTTTTTTCCTTCAAGGACCTTGGCAAATGGCTGAGTTTTCTTTCCACTCCCCTCTGCCTTGTTTTAGGAATTGAAAAATATAAGCGTTGGAGTGTGAAACCTCCAACGAGAGAGGGAGCCTCACCCATCCATGGTTCAGTTTATTGGAGACTCAGTTCTCATTGCGAGTGAACATTTCCATCCTGGTTGAGATCCCAGGATGCTTTGCAGAATGTGCCCACTGGCCTGGTCAGCTCTCAGAGGGCACGAAATGAAGTCACCATCCTTGGGCAAAGCCTTGACCAGCCCTCTGTGAGAATCTGTACATTTGGAAATGAACGTGGTTTTATTTTGCAGTTTTTGCCTTAAGGCACATCTTGTGACCAGAGACAGAGAGAGAGAGAAGGAAAGTGAGAAATCACCCCCCAGGGAGGATGGCCATGCCATAATCCCTTCTCCTCTATTCTCCTCCTGGGATTTTGGGCACACGCACAAGTAACCTGGCGTGATTTTCAAGCCTCCAGGTCCAGGACTCGAACCTCACTCACCATGTGTTAGTCCAGCGCCTTAACCACCATGCAACCTGCAGGTCCATTTTATTTATTTATTTTTAATTGCCATGTTACAATCCTCCTGCTTCAGCCTCCTGAGGAGCTGGGACTGCAAGCAGCAACTTGTTAGGTGGGCCAGGAATTGAACCCGGGCCTCCCCGATAGCCTGAAGGTAGCATCTACCAGCCTGTGCTACCGCAGTGGGGCCTGGAAATAAGCATTTTGACTTTTTTCGGGGGGGGGGATTTTCGCTATAGGGCGCGTGTGCTCGCCAGACAGACAGAGAGAGACAGAAAGCAGGAAATCACCCCCCAGGGGAGATGGCCATGCCGCAATCCCTTCTCCTCCATTCTCCTCTCGGGATCTTGGGCACACATGCACACGCGCCCGGCGTGAGTTTAAGCCACCAGGTCCGGGACGCGAACCGTGGTCGACTACGTGGGAGTCCAGCGACATAGCCATTACGCTAACTGCTGGTCCCAGCATTTTGATTTTTCTAAAAGAAAGCAAATCAAACCCTGACTTCTACTTTTCCTTTAGTCGTAGTAACTTTTGCTCAAAGCCATATTCTAAAAAAAAAAAAAAAAAAAAAAAAGTCGTTTATTTCCAAAGCATGTTTGTCCAAGAAAGCGCTCAGGGACCCCGGGAAAAGTCCATTCATTGCTTCGGTGTTATTCTCAGGCTCCTCGGGAGGCGTTAAGCTCTCCCTGCCTTCAGAGCAAAGATGTACATTCAGACGTGTGGGAAAAGAACAAAGAGGAAAAAAACACAATCTATGTGTTCAATGCCCACCTGAGTCCTTTTTTCTTTTTTCTAGTAAGTTATTCATTGTTTGTTTGGAATGAAAATTCAACTGGGTATCTCATATATATATATTTACATATATACACATATATGTATACGTGTGTATATACATATATACACATAAATATGTTTTTATATGTGTGTGTATAGTTTTTTTTTTCTTATTTGCTATAGGGCACATGTGCTCTCCAGAGAAAGGCCCGAGAGTGGGGAAAAGTGAGAAAGCACCCCCAGATGGGATGTCCTTGCCACAATCCCTTCTCCTCCATACTCCTCTCCAGATGTGGGGCACACACATACACACACCAGGTCTGGGACTCGAACTGCACAGTCAGCCAGGTGGGATCCAGCCTCCTTACCCACCATGTCACCTGGCTGGCCCCCGAGTCCTTTCTTTCTTTTTTTTTTTTTTGTATAGGTGTTTGTTTTTTTTGGAGAGGTTTTTGCTATAGAGCGTGTGCGCTCACTAGAAAGACAAGAGACAAGAGAGATAGAAAGCGAGAAGTCACCCCCTGGGGAGGGTTGGCCACACCGCAGTCCCTTCTCCTCCATTCTCCTCTCGGGATCTTGGGCACACATGCACATGCATTCAGTGTGAGTTTAAGACACCAGGTCCAGGACTCGAACTGTGGTCGACTACATGGGAGTCCAGCGACGAAGCCATTACACCATCTGCTGGTTCCCCCACCCAAGTCCTTTGTTCATAAATAGTTTGGAGGTACATTCTTCCTGGTGAGTGCAAATCGAAACAAAACCCAGATAGTGCATTTGCAGGTCAGCTGGCCTCTTGCCCGTTTCAGGTCGAAAGTCAGCACCTGTCTGCTGGTCACGGACCCCCGGAGCCGGCACGCCGTGCGCCTGCCTCACAAGCTGCCCGGCATGCACTACAGCGCCAACGAGCAGTGTCAGATCCTGTTCGGCACCAACGCCACCTTCTGCAGGAACATGGAGGTAAGCCGCTCACGGAGGAGGGCGAGGGGGGCCCAGCCTTCCCTCGGCAGGCCTGGCTTCTGCTGGCTGACACCCATGTTCCCTCTTTACGCATGCACACCTATGCACATGCACAGCCTTAATATGCACGTGTGCACCTCAGCCCTGCATGCACACACACTGACATGGAGCCACGTGTACACCTGCACAATTGCACACCCAGGCAGGACTGCAGGAGGTTCTACACGTTGGTATCATTTGGAAGACTGGGGACCGGAAGTATTGATGAGCTCAGATTTTGGAATATTTGCCAATAGAGAGTTGAGACCTAAGTCTAAATACAAGGTGCATTTAAAAAAAAAAAAAAAAAAAGAGGTTTTTGCCTCAGGCTGTGTGCGCTCCCCAGAGAGAGCTACAAAGATAGAAATCCCCCCCCCCCAAGGAGGGGTGAGGGGATGGCCACACTGCAATCCCTTCTCCTCCATTCCCCTCCTTGGGCACGCATACATATGCGTCCTGTGTGTTTCAAGCCACTGGGTCTGGGACTCGAACCGCAGTCAGCCATGTGGGAGTCCAGTGACATAACTGCTATGCTATCTGCTGGCTGCACAAGAGGCATTTTATCTACACCCCCTACACAGCACCTAAAGGTGATTTTATTCAGACTTTGTGCGTTGCGTGTTTAGGCTGCTCCCTGTCACATGAGGTCAGGTGTGGAATTTTCCACATGGATTGTCCTGTCGGTGCTCGAAAAGTTTTGAATTTCGGAACCTTTTACATTTCATATTTTCGGATCGGAGATGCTCAGCCTGTGCTGACACCAGCAGCCCGATGTTTTAGTGTGCACGCCCTAGGAGGCTAGAGCAAAGGAATCAACTCAGACTGCTCGGGGGTCAGGTCATGTCACCTGACTTCCGACTGTACGCAGGTAAGGGAGAGAGAGAACTGCTCAGTGTTGGGACCAGCAGTTGGCGTAATGGCTATGTCACTGGACTCCCATGTAGTCTACTGTGGTTCAAGTCCCGGACCTGGTGGCTTAAACTCACACCCGGCGCATGTGCATACGTGTCCAAGATCCTGAGAGGAGAACGGAGGAGAAGGGATTGTGGCATGGCCATCCCCGCCCCCCCCAGGAGGGGTAATTTCTCGCTTTCTGTCTCTCTGTCTCTCACTCTCTCTGTGTCTTTCTGGTGAGTGCACATGCCCTATAGCAAAAGAACCTCTCCAAAAAAAGAAGATGGGAACTCATTTATTACCTGTTGATGTTGATGGTAATGTGTATAGTATTCTCAACCGGACTGGTCTGGTGTGTATGTCACATTGGATAAATTCTCCCTCCCTCTCTTTCTTTCTTTTTTGCTTTAGAGCACATCACATGTGGTTGACAGAGAGAGGGAGGAAAAATGAGAAAGCATCCCCCAGGGAGGATGGCCACACTGCAGTCCCTCCTCCTCCTTTCTCCTCTTCAGGTGTTCTGGGGCACACATGCACACACACCCAGCATGTTTTCCAAACTGCCAAGTCCAGGACTCAAACTGCAGAGTTGGCTGTGCAAGATCCAGCCACCTTAATCTCCATGCCACCTACTGGTCCCACTTCCCCTGTTTAATGTGTTTAATGTTTCATCTTCCCTGTTTCGGTAGACCGGGGCTTTGCTCATCTTCCTCTTCCGGGTTATAAACCTTCAAGGGCATCTTCCTCTTCCGGGTTATAATCCTTCAAGGACATCTTCCTCTTCCGGGTTATGAACCTTCAAGGGCAGCAGTTTTTGCTTTTGCTCATAGTATTGTCCAACTGCTTTGAGCAATGCCTGGCACACAGTGGGTGCTCAGTGAGTCCGTGTTGTGCTGGGATCCAGTCATGACCCTGACAGGAAACATGTCACGCCCTTCTTTTGGAGAGGTTTTCGCTATAGGGCACGTGCACTCACCAGACAGACAGAGAGACAGAAGGCGAGAAATCACCCCCCCAAGGGGGATGGCCATGCCACAATCCCTTCTCCTCCATTCTCCTCTCGGGATCTTGGGCACACACACACACGTGCCCAGCATGAGTTTAAGCCACCAGGTCCGGGACTTGAACCACAGTCGACTACATGGGAGTCCAGTGACATAGCCATTATGCCATCTGCTGGTCCCCATGTTAGGTCCTTCTTATATGGCCTCGCTGAACCCTGGATGAACCTGTGGCCAAGCTCAGGATTGAAAAAAAGCTCTTAGATCCTCCCCATAAAATACATTACTATGTTTTTGTTTTGTTTTGTTTTGTTTTTGAGAGAGATTTTTGCTGTAGGGCATTTGCACTCACCAGAGTCAGAAAGACACAGAGTCTGCAAGAAATCATCCCCTGAAGGGATGACCATGCCACAATTTCTTCTCCTCTTGGGATTTTGGCATGCACGCACACGTGCATAGCGTGAGTTTCAAGCTGCCGGGTCCAGGTCTTGAACCATAGTCGGCCACATAGGAATCCAGTGCCTTAGGCATTATACCACTTGCTGGTCCCTACTGTCTAAGGGTAAATTCACGTTTTTTTTCCATCAGGATCACCAACATAATATGTAGGACTTTGTCAAATATTTTGTAGCTAGAGACCCCCACACCATTCCTGAGGCGTCCTCCCAGGGCAGAACCCATCGCAGCAGGGCAGTCGGTCACACAGTAAGTGACAGCAAGCTGGTCCCAGGCAGTCACATCTCTTCCCGCATGCCTTAGGGTCCTCCCTGGAAAATTCTCAAGACTTCTGGCAAGTTAGTGCCCATGGAGGGCTCAGAAGTGGGTCTGTTACAGTCAGAGCCCAGTAAGGCAAGCTGAAATCCTTGTCGTTATTTTCTCTCTGGGTAACCCCAATTCCCACCCATGCTGGGACGCAATTCACGTATCTGTGTGCTGGGAGGAATAGCATGTCTCTCTCTCTCTTTTTTTTTAGAATTATTTTATTTAACTTTATTTATTTTAATTTGACCATAGAGGGGCCAGCAGTTAGCATAATGGCTATGTCGCTGGGCTCCCATGTAGTCGACTGCGGTTTGCGTCCCGGACCCAGTGGCTTAAAACTCACGCCGGGCGCATGTGTGTGCGTGCCCAAGATCCCGAGAGGAGAATGGAGGAGAAGGGATTGTGGTGTGGCCATCCCCCCTGGGGGGTGATTTCTCGCTTTCTATCTTTCTGTCTGTCTGGCGAGCGCACGTGCCCTACAAAACACACAAAAAAAAAAAAAAAAAAAAAAAAGAAAAAAAAATTGACCATAGAGTTACAGAATGAGAGACAGAGAGAGAGAGCAAGAAAGCAAGTTACCATGTCTGGGACTCAAACCGTGGTCGGCCATGTGGGAGTCCAGTGCCCTTAACCACCATGCCATCTGCCAGCTCCCTGAGGATTAGCATGTCTCTATGTGCAATTCCTTGAGGGCTGTGAAAAATCAAGCATCACCTTAAATCCATTCTCTTCTTGTAGCCAGAGACACCAGAACTAATCGGAAACATCTTTGGGCCCTTGTTCTTTCTTTTTCAATTTTCTTTTTTTTTAGAGATTTTTTCCTTAGGGCGCAGGCGCTTGCCAGAGAGAGATAGAAACAGACAATGAGAGAGAAAATGAGAAGTCACCCCCCAGGGGGGATGGCCACGCTACAATTGCTTCTCCTCCATCCTCCGCCCGGGATCATAGGCATGCACACACACGTGCCCGGCATGAGTTTCAAGCTAGAAGGTCCTGGACTTGAACCACTGTCAGCCATGTGGGAGTCCAGCGACGTAATTGCTATGCCATCTGCAGGCCTGGGTCCTTAAGTCTTTATAGCTCCCATTCTTCCGTGCCCTGGGGGATTGCAATGGAAACCACGTCATGAAATGCATCAATGGTTGCGTTTCACTTTCTTACTCCATCCTCTGCTTTCGGCCAAGGGGCCAGATTTGCTCTCCTACGTGAAACAGCTAACAAAACACAGATACAATGTGTGAGACAATGATTTATTCTTTTTTTTTTTTTTTAGATTTTTTAGACCATAGGGTGCACGTGCTCATTCAAGACAGACAGAGACAGACAGAAAGAGGGAAAGTGAGAAACTACCTCCCGGGGGATGGCCACACTGCAGTGCCTTCTCACCTATTCTCCTTTTAGGATTTGGGGCATGCACACACACATACCTGGCATACTTTTCAGGCCACCGGGTCCAGGACTTGAACCGCGGAATTGGCCATGTGGGATCCAGTGCCTTCACCATCACACCACCTGCTGGCCCCTGAAACAATGATTTTTTAAGACACCGGACTGCAAGCCATAAAAGACTGTGGTCCTGGGACCAGCAGATGGCATAATGGTTATGTCGCTGAACTCCCATATAGTTGACTGCAGTTCGAGTCTGGGACCTGGCAGCTTAAAACTCATGCCAGGCACGTGTGCGTGCATGCCCTAAATCCTGAGAGGAGAATGGAAGAGAAGGGATTGCAGCGTGACCATCCCCCCCGGGGGGTGAAATATTGTTTTTCGTCTGTCTCTCTCTTTCTCTCTCTCGCGCACGTGAGTGTCCATGCCCTGTAGCAAATTTTAAAATATTAATAATGATAAATAAATAATTCCTAAGGGAAAAAAAGGTACATCAACTCACTTGCCACTATAAAGCCTGTCCCCTGATGCAGCTTTACTGTCACTTGCCCCTCACTGATAGGATTTTGAATTAAAACTGCCAAGTCTGGGACTCAAACTATGTAGTCAGCCAGGTTGGGTTAAGCTATCTAAAACACCACACCACTTGCTGGCCCTGCTTAGCCTCTTTTAATTTGCTGTGTGTCTCTCTGTTTAGTTAGACCATGGCTTCAATGATTTTCCTCTTTCAAGAGCAACAGTCTTTGCGTTTGCACACGGTGTTTTCTAACTGTCTTGAGCAGCATCTGCAAGCAGTGGATTCACTATGGTCTCTGCAGTCAAAACTCTCTGCTAGTGTTAATCAGTATCTGCAGCTGTTCCCCAGTGCTAGTATCACCAACTCAGCTCCACCTCCAATCTTTAGGCATGAGATTCTCA